TTCCTCCAATCTTGGAATAAATTAGATAGGTAATCTTAAAGTATTGCTTAGCATAGTATATTTTATACATGCTGTTATCCATTTTTAAACTATCTATAAGGTATATAAGGTATATCAAGCAATTTTGTGCCTCTGGTAAGTTGAAATAGTATGTACAGTACATTAAAAATGAAGCATCAGTGACACATCAAAGGCTCAGAATTGCTTTCCCAGTGACAGAATTCTCCCATCACGACCTCAATATATCCAACCCTCGTTGAGATACACAGTCCCAACCTTTTACCCTTGTACAGGTTTCCTGTTTTATTTACCATAATCAAAAGTTATGAAAAACCGAAAACTCAAATTTGGTCTGTATTGCAAGCATTTTTTTTTTTTCTTCTGTTACTGCAATTCTGGATGTAGTATTGGGATGCCAAAACCTAGTGCTTGCTAAAGGAATTATAAGGAACTTGTATGAACACAAACAGCTTACATAACTGTACAATCTAAAATACATATAAAGGCTTTTAATATTTGTACTAATTGTCAATTGAAAGAATGCCTGAGGAAGTACAAGTTGGTCAAGAAAAAGACTAGAAGCAGATTATAATGTATTATTATGTTAAGTTGTCATTATTGGACAGGTGCTGTCTTCTGTGTGGAAATTCTTCTGTTATTTTATTCATGAATATTTTATTTTAGTGAAATATTCCTGAAAATCTTTAGTTTGCCTTCATGTTGGGCAAATTATTTTGCTAGTGCAATTGCTATTACTTACATTATTGCAGAGTAACTGAATGATGATAATGTTCAAATTTACATTCTGTATGCTTAAAATATCTAAAATGGGATTAGGTGCTTTGTTTTTAGAATATGGTGATATGACAATATGCAAATGGCAATACAAGTGGATATTTGTGTCAGAAATGCTGAGTTCAGGCTAGTCTTACTAATTTACTCAGAATGATGGCATCAGGCAAATGCAGCAATGAATCTTTATCATGACCATAGTAGAAGCTAGGCAAGACCTACTTGTCATAATATGTTGTCTTGTTTATTTCCTTTCCTTCCCACATATACCAAGCAAGTAATTGATGTACGTGCAAATATATGATTTAAATATTCTAATGTGGGTATTTTGTTTGTATTATGGGTGTAACATAGGACATTTGTATGAAATTTATGTCTGATGTTTATGAGGCAATTTTTTTTTGTAAAATGCCGTAAACTAACACACATGCAATCAAGAGTTTTTATTTTATTTTATTATATATATAAATACTACATCACTGATTGTGAATCTTGCATTATGTTGCAGGATCCTGTGTATTGTAGGACCCACATTGCCTTTGTTAATCAGTTAGAAATTCAGTTTAACATTGGGTTTGTGTTTAATGTTGTTTGTAATATGCTGACATTTGCATTGGTGATTGAAAGGGTTGGCAAGGTAATGAGTAATTTAATCCACAGGATATCAGGGTGTTTAGGTCACATTCTGTATGATCCAAGCTACTAGTAATGGCAGTCAGATATGAAATGTACATAAACTGTTACAATCCCTGAGAACCAGTACCTAAGTTTTGTATCCTAACCTTAGGCAATATATCCTAGAATATATTGGTAATATAATTTGGCAGCATTTTATTTGAAACTTGAGTTTGGTTTTCCTGTACTCTCCTTACAAGTGCTTTAGGTTCTGAGTGCCCAAGTGTGTAACCTCTGCCCTTGATTTGCAGTTGTATAGTGTAATGCATATATTTACCTAGGAAACAGTGTGTCAGTTTCACCTTTCAGATTCGAATGTGATAGTCTTTTAAGTTTTATGAATGTCTAGGATTACAGTTATACCAAATTTAGTTTTCACATGTATTTGTGACCAGTTTAAACTATTATTTTTACTTCATAAATGTAAGTTGAGTCTCAGTCATTTTAGCTAAAGTCAGATTTAATTTTCATATTTATGAAGTGCATTGCTTTGATTATGTAAGCCAGTCATTTTGATTTAAGAAAATTCTAATTATTATTGTTATTTATGTGGGATTTCTTTCTGCAGTAAAAAAAAAGTTAAAAAATATTAATATATGGATACTTCACCCATGTACATGTGTTGAAGATGGCATATCCTTTGTTGGATGATATGACTTAAGATGATTTTTTGAAGTAGGTAACTTTACTACAGTATTGTAAACCCAGTGTACATAAAATGTAAATAAAAACCTCATATGATAAGTAATGTTTCCTTAACACATGAAGGTGAAAAAAAATTAATGTTTTCCAAAAACATTGGTATATTATTGTAATAATAATAATACTCAAATTCTGGGATACAGGCTTATAGTTCATAAGAGACTATTCACTGTCTGGGGAAGGTCAGTACCATTAATGGTTAATGGTCACAAAGCCAAATAAATGCACTAAACATCAAAGGCCATATAGCAGTATAGCAAGGTGTAGTAACAAAAAGGGTAAAGGGGGGAGGGGGTGTTGATTAAATATGCTACACATCAAAAGTCGTACA